ATAGTGCCCTGAGGGTGCCCCCACCCTCAGGGTCCCCCTCCTGCCGGGCTGGATGGCGAGGAAAGGGGTTAAACTTACCTTTTTTCCAGCGCCGGGCGGGGAGCTCTCCTCCTCCTCTCCGCCTCTGATCCTCCTCTTCGGCTGAATGTGCTTGCGCGGCAGGAGCTGCGCGCGCATTCAGTCGGTCTCATAGGAAAGCATTTACAATGCTTTACTATGGACGGTGGCGTCTTCTCACTGTGATTTTCACAGTGAGAAGCGCGCAAACGCCTCTAGCGGCTGTCAGTGAGACAGCCACTAGAGGCTTTGGAGGCTGGATTAACCCATTTATAAACATAGCAGTTTCTCTGAAACTATGTTTATAAAAAAAGGGGTTAATCCTAGAGGGACAAGGCACCCAGACCACTTCATTAAGCTGAAGTGGTCTGGGTGCCTAGAGTGGTCCTTTAACAGTTTGGAATTTATTGAGCTGATGAAGCTGCTACATAATTATTAACTGTTGCACTGTTTTCTGTCAAATTGTTTTAGAAATTTAAGATAATCTAGTGTGGGAACTGATAAATAATGATTTGGAGCTCAGGGAGTTCTCAGCTGGAAATGGGCGAGCATTCCTCGTAGACTATAGTTAAAGGTAAACTACAAGCATTATAATAATGTTTAAAAATAATAATAATACAGAGCACTGTTATTGTGCCAGGAGTGACCTGGCGCAGCCCAATTTAAGGAAAACTTACCTGGGATTGTCTGGGTGCCGCTTACCTCCTCTGTGAGAGGTGGAAACTCTCTGCATTGAGATAAACCCAGCGGAGCAGTGATCAGCTTTCCCAGGAGAGTTAATGGCAGTTCCATCCTTGAGCTTCCAGCATTTACTGCATCTTTAAGGATTTTACAAAGATGCTATCTCCATTATCCAGTCTGCAATGGTGGACTGTCCTTGGTCTCCACTCAAGTGTCCATTAAAAGTGTTGCCAGACGGAGTATCTGTGCGGATTGCATCTTCATACCAGGTGTTGCTGCCCACCTGGTGGTGTTCCCAGATGCCTGCTGCTTGGAACTCTTGGCATGGTGTTTGCTGCCACAGCCAATCAGAAGTGTAGACATTCTCCTGGTTAGGGTAGCTGCTCTGGAAGGAGGTTTGTTCATAGTTGTCCAGGTCCAATAATGTGTAACCTGAACCTGGGTCTTCTGAGAAGCAGCTACCAGGGTATACTTCTACAGGAGTGAGAGCAGATGATGGCAGATCAAAGGGCTCATCATGGAACCAGACAGGCTCCAGGAGCTCTGATCCAATTTCTGTATTGGGTTCCCAGTACATATCACCCTGTTGTTGCTTGGGTTGTGTCTTAGCAGGCTTACAATCTGTAAGCTGAGGAATGAGCTGATGGCAGCTTTTCTTGGCAGAGCCCTGCCTCTTATCGTGCTGTTTGGCCCTGCGCAGCACATTGATCAGTAGGATGCGCCTGAGCAATTTGATGCCCCTCTTTTGCTTGGTTTTGAACCCCTTGAGCTTCGTCATGGTAAGGCTTATTAAATGATTGTCATTCAAAGAGCGCTCCATGATAGAGTTGCTCTAATTAGCCTCACTAGAACTTGCTCTCTTGGTTCTCTCTAAGGTTTATTGGACTTGGCTTTCACAACTTCAACCAGTCTCTGTTACACCTTCTCACCACAGTGAGTCACAGTAGCACATAGTTGCATGTTTATCACTGTTGCTAAAGCAACTGAAGCAACAGCCAATCAGCTGCAAGCCTTTGTATTACCTAACAATGGCCAGGCAGCCAATATGATGATTGTGGTAATAGAAGAACAATACCATAATGAATATGGTCCTTTACCTTTTTATCTCCATGATGTAAATATGATAGTAATGTAGACGGACCATGTCTATTACATGTTTTTAACGAGTCACAATAAAAAAACTATTTATTATCGTTGTTTGTTTCTAAATATTAAAATATCGGTATACATAAAGCAGGTTTTAGTGTGTGAGGAGAACTACAAAAACATGATAGATACTTTTTAACAAGTAATAAATTCCAGATAATACCTTTTAGCTTTATATACACTGATGGTTAATAAATACAAAGTATATAGTGGTGTATGTCCATGTATAACACCTATATTTTGGTAACTTATTTAATTTTATACCATGTTGAACTAATTTCTTAAAAAAAAAAAAAGGTAATTTATATGTAATTATTTACATGAAACTCCTCGTGTACACAAATTGTTCCAACATGGCCTTGGAACAAGTTATAGGTGAAAACCCTAGACTTTTACATATATGTATAGACTTTGTCATACTAAGTTGAGCTGACACTCTAAATATACTGTTGATTTATTTATTCCATTTAATGTCATTTATATTTCCCTATATTGTCATTTCTAAGATCAGCTCCTGGTCACTCATCCAGACTTCTGGCTCTATTTCTTCATTTTAGAATGTGTGTAGTGTTTGAGAATATACTGTAGATGCATATTTCAATGTTGAAAGTGTCTGTAAATGCAGGTTGAATAACACATTTTTCTTTTTTATGCTTGTAGCGGAGCTCCAATACCCCGACTAGATATCTCAGCTGTTCCTTCCTTGAAGCTATAAGAAGTGCTGTAGTGATTATAGCACTTTCCCCCCAGCAACTAGATGACACATAGTGAACTGAGTTTTATTGTGCTACACTCTGCTTTTTATGCACAGACCTCCAGCTGTAGAGAAATGCACAAGTCCCCTGTGCTTTGGGCAGACTGCGCTTTTATATGGTTGGGGGCGAGGTTAGCATAGCCACGCCCCCAAAAGGTCCGTGTATGTGCTGAGCTCTTTTTCATAGAGCTCTTCCGACATCATGACGACGGCACACATGTGCCGCGTCATAAAAAGGAGCGGGCGGCGGGCCTGAGACTGAGTGGAACTTAAGGCTGCATGGGAGCGGTGGTCCACCGGATCCCTGCATTTGCAGATCGTCGGACTACCAAGGTAAGTGTAAGAGGGCTGACAGTCAGTGCTCAAGGGGGTATAAAAGGGGGACCACACATATTCTGTTCGGGAACCAAACCGAGGGGGTACAGACAGCCGAACAAAAGGGAAATAAGTTGTTTATAATAGAAACATAGAATGTGATGGCAGATAAGAACCATTCGGCCCATCTAGTCTGCCCAATTTTCTCGATACTTTAATTAGTGCCTGGTCTTATGTTAAAGCTAGGATAACCTTATGCCAATCCCACGCATGCTCAAACTCCTCCACTGTGTTAACCTCTACCACTTCAGCTGGAAGGCTATTCCATGCATCCACTACCCTCTCAGTAAAGTAATACTTCCTGATATTATTTTTAAACCTTTGCCCCTCTATATAAGTAGACAAGAATTGAGTGCCCTAATTACGATAAAACTTAATTATTGTTATCAATGCAAATAAATAAAATAAAAAGAAAGGTATTTTTATAATGGTGCATAAGTGCTCAAAGTGAAGATAAGCAACCAAGTCTATATACAGTAAGTAAAGTTGTCCTGTCCAGTATCTAAGTTTCACTGGCAGATCAGTTAAAAGCAATGTATCGATATGCCCTTGTTTGTGTTCATTCAGTAAGGTGTATTGTCTAACTATATATCGATATATTCTTAATATGGTTTCCGAAATTGTGGTAACAATTCTTGATTATTTGTGGTAATGCACTGTTATGCCTAGAATGTTTGATAATACATTTAAATCTGTGCTCATTTAGTAAGGTCTGCTGTCAGGTTTTGCAAATTTCAGAGAAAGTAAATTTTACACATTAGAGACCTATATTTTAAAGAGAAGGATTATAGGAGAAAAATAATAAGCCATCGACCAGACATAGCCTATCAAGTTATTGTCTTAATAATGTTACCATATCCCTCTGGGGATCGACAGTATACTGGGATGAAATTGTGCTGTATCTATGTCTGAAGGTCAACTGTACTGACTATGCCGATTGGGTCCTGAAATAGTGACCTGACCGGACTGTTATTTAGATCTCCTGCAGTATGGATTAATGTCAAGAGGAGGAAAGCCGGCTACTGAGGACCGTATCTAGATACTTCTGTGCCTTCAAGGGCACCTATCATCAGTAAAAGCCCGGTACAAGTGCTAGGTAGCTATCTTCTGAATGGCTATTTTCATATTATTCCTCGGTGGAGTAATGGTTCACAAATCCTTATGAAATGAACAGTCCGTTCCTGATCTAATGGTACTGGTCTTGAGAGTCTGTCTGTCCAGAACACCTAGAGCCCCTTGAATAATGTGTAACTCTCTCCCACTTAGCTAAAGCACAGATATTTTTTAGGTGGAATAAATGTTTGAAAGCTCGGGATCCTGGTTAAATGAACACAAAGTTCCTGAACTAATAATAGTAGATTTTTAAATAAAAGCTGAGCCCCTAAGGGCTCTCGGTGATCCTGGTAGACAGCTTTTATTTAAAAATCTACTATTATTAGATTTGTCAAGATGTAAAGTTGAATTTGAATTTACATTTATCCCAGGTATGCTGGGAGACGTGGGAGGGGTGAGCGATCTATAGGTCCTTGGAATCCACATGTATTGTGATGAGTGTTCTCATCCTAGGATGGCATGTTCTAAATCTACCCATCGTTCCATGCTGATAGGGCATGCCATTGTTGTAATTGGGCCAATTGAGCAGTGTAGTAGGCCTCTGTATTGTTTGGGTACGTACATTGTCATGTGACGGACTCTGGGCTTCTTTCCCCTCCAGACAAATCTATCGATAGCTATCTGGAGGGTCTTAAAGTCTGCTACACAAATAGGGATAGGGAGCATCTGGAATAGCTAGAGGAACCATGGTAGGAGTTTCATTTTAATTGTAGTAACCCTCCCCAATCACAAAAATGCCCATGGGTTCCAAGGATTGGAGGTCCGTATAAGCCATTCAGAACATAGGTGCATAGTTCATTTCGTATAGCTTGGTGAGGTCTGACAGGATGTGGACTGACAGTGAGTGGACGAGATAGTTGTGGGGGTAATGTTTTCAATAGGTTCTGTATCTGTTGGGGTTTGTATGTGACCGGCAGTAGCTCCGACTAAGGTTTATTTTATATCTTGAGAGTTCTGCATATGGGTCAATCAGCGTCACTATTTTCGGTATAAAACTAGCAGGGTTGGTGAGCGTGAGGAGGACATCGTCGGCATATGTCGCTGTGACAAAACCACATATTTGGTGGTATCTATTTCGGGTCTGCATTCGGTAGCCCTTGGTTCCAACCCCCTTTTCATTTCAAGGCCCAGTTATTTCGGAGAGAAAACCAAGTTCCAAAGGGCCCTTTTATAATTACTGCTATTCGGATACTTGCTCGCCATGTGTTAGAGAAAACGGTGGCCATCTTGACCGCACAATACAGACAGCAGGACCTGGTCGTTGAGCGTCTGGTACCATAGACTGGACACTCGATGGTGCGATTCCCCTGCGCCTCTTCCGTGGACGTCTATTCTATTTTCCCCATTCGCCAGGAGAGCACTATTTGGCGTGGCTACTCCTGTTACACCAGTAAACCAACTCTACTGCTGAGACCCAAAGACAGTTCACTGTTTTGGCACAAACTGATCAACCGATCAACCGCGACCACCGAACTTGTGGAACTATAGTGGGCACCCGCCTTGTGCGCGGTCGGTTGAATCTTTACCTCAGTGGCGTTTCCGCTGGGAATGTGTGGTCAGAGAGCTATTTTGCCAGATTGGGTGCTCTGGAGCCAGCTATCTGGACATATAATATGTGTGGGGGTTCGGACATATTTTCATATTTCTGTATTTTCACGATGACTCTGGTTTTCATGTGGGCGTGTTGTGGGAGTTCCCATAGGCATGTGTTATATACCTAGACTTGCATAAAAGCCGGCCATCTGGCCAGAATAAAACATTCCTGTTGTACCCTTCATCTAGTCTCGACTGATGCTTGGGTATGCGATTGTTTCTCTTCTCTGCTCACTAGGACTCCGTTAACGATCGGCTCAGTGCTCCTGGATATCAGTGTTATAATCACAAAGTACAAAAAAGGTAGATAGGGACCAGCGCTTATTTATATAAAATTTCAGTGTATGAATATACAAAATTATTATTAGCTGCTATACATTCAAGTACTCCTTTACAGTATCACCAATATAAAGTTCAAGACAAGAAAAGAATGTAGCGCTTTTAAATAATCATAAAATTCGTTAATCACCTTTTAAGTTTTAGCATGGAAGTACACTAACTTAGCCAGAAAGCGAGATTCTTCTTATATCTTCAAAATATACAGTTATCTAGAATGAATAATTATACACAGCATAGATCATAAACATTTGGGTAATCTATTGTGGTTATGGTGTATATGCACCCACAGATAAAACAAGAACAGAGACCGTGGACAGGAGGAGGGTGTGCACCGCGCGCTCCATCACCCCCCCACTTCACCCCCTCTACCTCCCTTCCAGCCTCCCCCTCATTCTTCCCTTCCCCCCCACATAACACGAGGTAAGCTGATCACCCCGATAGGGGCACCAAAGAAAAGCGCATGGTGAGAGAGCATCTTAAAAAGAAACATGGAAAAGTAAATAACAGTATATGAGACCAAACATGATCTACAACAGAGTTGAGCATTGTCTGGATGGTATTGGTAGGATAGGGATATACAATACTCTCTGGTCGGAGTGAAGGAATAGGACAGCCGCATGGTATAATCTGTTATGGTATAATCTTTTGCGACATATGTCAACAAAGGAGATACAAGATGTATTATACACTGCACTTACTTTATCCCTGTGTGACCCTTCTTTCCTGTACCTCCCTCCACCCCCAAATTAAACAACATCTCTTAAATAAAGAATAAAAAGACGATCAAACTCCTTTTCGGCGTAAAGGGAGATTAATGCCGTTGACATTTGGTGTAATTGCGCAAACCAGATTGAGTCTATAGCTCTCCTTGTGTTATCAGCCACCTGTTGGTTGGGAATAAATCCAACATGGTCTGGATGGATTAGTGATTCAAGGTAAGGGTTGAGTCTGTTTGCTAAGGAATTGGTGATAAGCTTTAAGTCTGACTTAAGTAATGAAATCGGGCAGTAGTGCCCTGGGTCGAGGTGAACGTTGGCGGCTGTCATGTCGGTGGGTAGGCTCTGGCCCTGGAGTAGGGTATTGGTTAGTCTGCTGAGGTGGGGTAGTAAGAGGTCGCTAAATGTTTTATAGTAGAGAGCCGTGAAGCCAACTGGTGCCTGGTCTTCAGGGCTAGTTTCAGTTCCTCCATGTGCATCCATGTCACGGGAGAGGGCCGTCTAGGCCGTTATTTCGCTTTAGTAGGTCCAATTAGGTCAAGAAATCCCTAATCTTGGTAATCCTATCCAAGGAGGGTGTGGCGTGGTCAGGTGTATGGTTAAAGAATTAGGAATAGTAGCGCATGAATTCATGAGCTATGTCCTCTGGGTCGTCTGTCACCGTCCCCGATGCTGTGTGGAGTTTGGCAATTCGTTTGACTTCTATTTAGCTCTTTAGGCAGTTTGCTAGCACAGAGTGTGCCTTGTTACTCTTCTCATAGAATTTTTGTTTCGTTCATAGGAGTGGTTTAGTGTCCTCCATTTTGGTTTCAATTTCGTGGGTGAGATCCGTGAGGTCTTCATTCAGGGGCTGTAAATGCTTGTGCATCTCGTCAGCACCATGTGATTTGAATTCGCAGAGGAAGCCCCACATGTCCCATTCGGTAAATGGGTCATCGGGGTCTCTGTCTTGAGCAGAGCAGCTCCCGTCGGAGTCAGAGGGTGTTGCTCCTCGTGAAGGTGTTTGGGCCCTTTCTGCTTGGATGTGGAATATCAGAGCCACGGCGGACTGTTTTGTTTTGCGGCCACCCCCCATTCGGTAGCCGGGTCTGTGGGTGCAGCTAGGTAAGATTATGTGAGGAAGGGGTAGTTTGGGGTTATTTTCAGAGTTTCTCGGAATTTGCTTATGGTTTTGGCGGGTACGCAGCAGAGCTCTGAGATTATGCAGCCATCTTCTCTGAGTTGCAGGTTTCACCTCCCCTATACTTCTAATTACCTTTTATACAATTAAGCTAGTTTGACATAATCCATGTGTAACGGATCTCCTATACTCAGACTGAATATATCCACTGTAGTTCTCCCAAGTCCCAGGGAAGCAGTGATTATAGCTCAGCATACCCAAACATCAGCCTAGACTTGATGAAGGGTACAAGAAGACTCATTTTATTATGGCCATATGGCACACTTATATACACACCAAGGATACAGTTAAACACGCCCAGAACACTCCCACAACACGCCCCTTAATATCTGTGTCAGAATGACTAAGCATAAAACATAAAAATGCCCAAAAAGATTAAAAAAAATACAAAACCACACAAAAATGACATCCTTAATTAGCCCTGATTTTAGCGCTCAAGTTCTCCAAATAGCATTTAGATCCATGCAGTGTAGGGGAAACACCACCGTGTCATAGGTCTGACAGGCTGCACACATGGTCCATACAGTTCCAGGGCGTTTGGTGCTTTGGCCAGTCAACTTTCGGGAGCTCCTGTGGCCACAATAGGGGTGCTCCGTCTGGGTCTTGGGTAGCGTTTGTTCCCTTTAGTCTCAGACACCTTTCCTCCAAAAAGCACTCTCCTGGCGGATTTCAAAGTCTTTCAAAACCCCGGACCAAGTTGTCCGGGAGCCAGACGGTCACCTCATGCTGAAAACGTTTCCATAACATTCATGGCTAAGTCCCGCTGAGGTGACCGGGAACCCACAAAGTTCTCATGCCAAATTTATTTCCCTAAAGAGCGCGGCTAAGTACTGCTGAGGACAATTCGTCGGTTGCTTCATGCGAACGGCCGCCAGGGAGCTAGTGTTTGGTTCCATTCGAATTAACGGAAAGTGCCGAACCAGGGGCACCCAGGGAAAGCTGCTAATGGCGGCTTGGGAAGGTTTAACTCCCGAACAGGGTCTTTGTTTGTAGCCCATAGTCCTTGGGCAGGAGGCTAGCTAGCAGGCTCCTCAAGGAGTTCGTGACAAACGTCCAGGGTAAAGAGCATTTGTCACATATCTTTCCCCTCCTGGGGAGACTAACCAGACCCCAGACCTCCAATCGATCTAGGTCTGTGTTAGTCTGGTGACCTTTTCCAAAAGGTGCAGTGATCCAGAAGGCCTCCTGCCCCAAGCTCCAGTTTATACATCCAGTATCTTTCTGGGAAGCACAACTGCTATAATCCACTCCTGATGCGCCACGTCGTTTCTGGGGGGGAAAGGGCGCAATTCTCCACTCTCGGGGATACACTGGGCCATTGGGGAGGGAGACTGATTGCACCATATCCCGGACACTCGTTCTGCTGAAGGGACAATATCTGGGTGGCTTCTGCTCCCATGCTAGGGAGTTGGGAATCTTGGCCAACTGCCCAGCATCCCTGTGATCCAGGTGTGGAAACCACGATTCCATCCACACATCCTGTGCCAAAAACCTGATGCCAGCTCTTCCGCTGGAGTTGCAATCTGCCTCTGGAGAGGGAGACCAATTGCCTCCGCTCCCAGTAACTCCGGCTGTCGCTAGGAAGAGAGACCATTAGTCTCCTCTCCCTGCATGATCCACTGCCGCTGGGGAGTGAGACTGACTGTCTCCACCCCCTGTGACGCTACTGGTTGCTGGGTAGTGGGACAGACTATCTCCACTCCCAATGATTCCTGCTGCTGTTCAGGAGCGGGACCAGAAATCTTCTCTCCCTGTAACTCTGGCTGACGCTGGGGAGAGAGACTGGTTGTCTCTTCTCCCTTTACCTCATACTGCCGCTGGTGAGTGAGACCGACTGTCTCTGCTCCCTGTACCTCCTGCTGCTGTTGGGGAGAGGGACCAAAAATCTCCTCTCCCTGTAACACTGGCTGCCATTGGGGAGAGAGACCGGTTGTCTCCTCTCCCTGCATGGTACACTGCCCCTGGGGAGTGAGACCAACTGTCTCTACTCCAGTGGCGGATCCAGGGGGTCAACGGGGCAATTCCCCCCCCCCCGAGATTCTGCACTGCCGGCTAATGCAGGGCTGGCATTGTCCAAGTGCCAGCCCTGCAATGTGCCTTCACGGACCGGGACTGGAGGGGAGATCAGAGAGAGGACCCGGGAGCTCAGCCTGCAGCTCCTCCGGGTCCTACCCTCGCGAGCACAGACCGTTGCCGCGGTTATCACGGCAACGCTCCAAATCTCGTGAGAGTGAACTCTAGCCCTGGAGCGCGGGCTAG